CTTAGAGCGAATCCCGCTAAGGGTGAAGCCATAGTCTATTGGTCGGTTCCTAAGAACCAAAAGGACTTACGTAAGTGACTTGGTCTTGCCAATTACTTACAAAAGTATAGTGCGAAATACGCAGACATGGTTCGGCCATTATCCATTCTCCTAAACCAGGGTGTGGGTTGGTGCTGGATAGCACCGGGAATGAGGCTTTTAAATCAGTAAAGGAGGGTCTCCTTCATGCGCCAATCTTGGCTTTGCCTGATTTTGATCGATCTTTTAGTGTCGTCTGTGACGCATTTGACTTTGCCATAGGCAGTGTTCTGTTACAAACGGATGTTGATGGACGGGAACGCGTCATTGTGTATGAGTCTCGACCGCTCAAAGTTGATGGAAAGAACTACCCAGTTCATGACAAGGAGCTACTTGCAATTAAGTACGCTTAAGTCAAATTCAGATTCCACCTGCTTGGCTCCAAGCCGTTTGTGATCGATACCGATCATGCGTCATTGCGCGCTGCGACCCATTCGCCACATCTCTATCATAAAATGGCTCGTTGGCTTTCATTATTTGCCGATTTTAACTTTGAGGTGAAGTATAAGCCGGGTAAGCAGAATTCTTTGGCCGATTCGTTGTCACGCAGGCCTGACTATAAGATTCCTCACGTTACGACTCTATCGTCGTCGTTCACTGACCTCATCTGTTCGGCATATGCCAAAGATGAAAATTGTGTAGCTCTGCTACGTGCTCTAGGGAGCGAGGAGTTCCAATACTCGGACATAGACTTGTCGGCACGATTACGTGCGAGACCACATCGATATTCCATCGATTAAGGCCTGTTGTGCTATAGCACGAATTTTGAGGATTCTCCTCGTATCTTGGTTCCTCATGATGAGGAGTTGAAGTATCAGACCCTCTATTAGGCGCATGATACTGCGGTGATCGGTCATCTTGGTCGTGAGAAGACCTATAGCTCTGTAAGCCAATTTTTATGGTGACCCACACTTTACAAATGGGTGCACATATGTGCGTACGTGTGAAACGTGTCAACGGGTATAACCCTCGGCTCATGCGGCTGCGCCGCTAGCTGGTCTACATATATCCTCTGGGTGTTGGGAGTCTATTAGCATGTACTTCATGTTCGTTTTAACGAAAGATGCGCATGGTAATACGGGTATCGTGGTCTTTGTTGACCGTTTGAGCAAGATGGAATACTTGGCGGCTGTGCCGGATACCATTGATGGTGAGGGTACAACGAAGCTGTTTATCGATCGAGTGTTTCGACAACACGGGTTGCCTCTGGAAATTGTCTCTGATCGAGACCCTCGCTTCACTGGGAAGTTTTGGAAGTTCATCTTCAAGGTGCTCGGCACACCATTGGACATGTTCACAGCGTATCATCCGCAGACTGATGGTCAAGCCGAGCGAGTGAATGTCATTATCGGTAACACCTTGCGCAGTGTTTGCGCTAATACACCAAAACGGTGGAGTTCGATGCCCCCGGTCGTTGATTTTGCGTTGAATAACGCCTTGCATGCCTCCACCGGCTACACACCGTTCTATGTGAATGTTCTCACACACCCTCGCGTTCCGTTAACGCTACCACTGCGTGGTTCAGGGCTTGGTGAGGGAGAGATGGCCGATCGGCTCGCTGATATTAGCCCTGCTACTGTTCATAAACAGGAAAGCGACTTTATCGCAACGCGATTGAATGTCTGACGACATGTGCGTTAAGCACTGGGTGATAGCCAAGACAAACAGGAGTAACAAGCTGATGCGAAAGGCAGAGGTTGTATTGAACGTGATGAGGTCGGAGACCAAGTTCTACTCAATGCTAAAAACCTACCTACAAATTTATTGTCTGCCGTCTTCAAGACAAAGTTGCGCCCGCGCTTCATCGAAACATTCACGGTCGTCGCTAAGAAGGAACTTGCGTATACGCTCAACCTTTCGCGCAAAATGCGCACACACCCTGTGTTCTACGTTGGATTGCTTAAGCCGTATCAGGATCCGTCCCACGCGAACTTGGAGGCGCTTGCGCCGCGTAGTTTGGCCTTGCCATCGGTTGCTGAATCCGTATCAAGATGTCAAGCTGATCCTCCATCCGGGCTTGGCCCAAATCCGATGCCTGGACACGGGCTTGGTCCAACTCCAACGCCTGAACACGCGCTCGCATCGCGTCAAACGCACTCTGGGCCTTACCCAGTGTCTCACGGAGACCACTCAGCTCGAGAAGCACCTTCTCATGCTCCCCCTTTGGTACACCGACCGCTATCGACGCTGCTTGATGAGCAAGGGAACCATCAGTTCCATGCGGAGAATTCCTGATGGGACGTCGTCGTCATGGCCATAACCAGTATCTGGTGAGGCGAGGGTACCCTGAGTCGGAGAACTCATGGGAGTATGAGATAACCCTTCGGCAGGATTGCCCATACGCCGTGGATATTTTTGAACATCATGGCTAGGGTCATTCTGCGACCACAAACGCTTCTCACCAATACTGGTGGAAAGTAGCGGGTTGCTCCGCACCATTGGGTCGGAACCCGCGGATCCCGGCGTAGCCGAAACATAGCGCGTTTGATTACGCAGTTGGCCTATGGCCTTGAGCTTGGCGTATTCGTACCGGAGCTTTCGTTCCAAACGAACATCAGCCACATCGGTAATTGCTCTCAGAGTTGTCCTGCTGCTGAGGCTTGCGGTTTACCCAGCGGATGAATTGGTTGTCCTCCTCTTCAGGCGACTCACCGGCGAACAACAATATGTGCACGCCGTTAATCGGTCTAACCGAAATACCACGAGCTAGGCTCTCAAGTTGTGCCTTGTACTGACCCTTTTGTGGTCAAGAATGGTTCGAGATACCTCTCATGCAGAACATGGCGGAAGGCGATGTCTTCTGGCGACGTAGCCTCTGTGGAAATGGCCCATGTTGAAAGGCTACGGTCTTCCGTTTGACGGAGATGTTCCTCCACGTCAGGTGTTGAGAAAACATATCCGCTCCGGTTTTGAACGAGCTTTTTGGTCTGAGCGCGACGAAAAGCTTTCTCCTCACGCTAGAGAATCAACTCCTATTGCTCGTCGAGCGATTTGGCGATGATGTGCTCACCGGCCTCTGTTGCATGATGCTGCACCTTTGGCGCGGTGGTTTCACCACGTTCAACAAACGGATTTGGTGCTGTGAGAGGTCGAGCCTCAGACACAGGGGGTTGGACGTTTTTCCTTCATCTCCATCGACATTGGTATCGCTACCATTGTCCACATCCTCATCAACGTTGGGGAAGGAGGAAAGAGTTCGAGACTTGTTAGGTGGCGATGCCATGGTGTTTCATTTTTGGCACAACGTGAAATTAAAGCGTACACACACCGACCTCTTCGAGGAAAGTATTCGATTGACGTTTCGTGGTAACGTCAGTCTGGTGGGGGAGGGTGCAACGGGGTTACGCAACAGGGTGTGTGTAACGGGTTTCATAACATGTGTGGTACACAAAGAACGGAGTCACACAGAAATGATACTAGAACACCATATCAATTGTCGGTGGATGACGTGTGTCAGCCACCAAATTACGAGATCTTTTAGGAGGTATTATTTCGAACAGCAGTGACCAGGTTAAGTACGTTGTTCTGAAGTGTTCTTTTCGATCGACATAAATAAAGTTCAGTTCCCATTTTGGTCACTTAAGACACGTGCCTTACGAGGCGTCTTTGATCGGTAAGAGCTAGCAACGCCTGTAACGGTATCTACTCTTGAGCATTCTGTGCTGCGATTTTCTTGAATCGTTTGGTCCCCTGGAACATGGACCGTAAGCTCTCTGAGCTTGTAGACTTTCTGAGTCGGGTTCTCTGAACCAAAGTTGCTCGTCGAGCGTTAAGTATTCCTCTGACTTTAGGAGCTGTGCATCTCCGGTACAACGGTAGACTAACACCAGATTGCCCCTTTTACAACCTCCTGATGGTGTCATTAAACTCTCTCATCACATCTTTTATCGGTACACTTGATCGAGCTGGTACTGACGAGACAGATCGCTGTACATAAGTGCTGCCAATGTAAAGGCATTATGGACCCAATTCTGCGGAGCAGATTCAGGAGCTCGACGAAGAAAGTGTCTAGCTTGCTGTACGCGAGGCGACATTATGACTCGGAGGCCCATATTGATTGCAGCACAAGTACATATCTTCGTGGTTGTCCATGGTGCGTCCTTGTACGGAAGGGCAGGGTGGAAGCATGCAGTGAACTTAGGTTGACGGGCGCGGATCACAACGACGAGTGCACGGCCAACCCTTTCAGCTTTGTAGAACGAGAAAACGGTCCAATATGATTTGTAGCAAGCGCAATATTGACTATATGCTATGTGGTACTATCACCGCAAGCCGGTCGTCGAAGCGCGAGCGACACGTTGGCTGAGAGCCAAATGTACATTTCGTTGGTGATTCTATCCATTATCAGTATAGATCAGAGCGTTGGCGCACACGGTTTCGTAAAGAGCTATCTATTTCCAGCAGTTACGTACGTCCAGCAGCAAGTCGACAGCCGTCAGCAGCAAGTCGACAGCCGTCAGCAGCAGAGACGTGCAGCTTGCCGCCATTCGACATACAGCCGGTACACATGCCCCAGCACCGCCTAAAACCATAAGATTTGATTGACTGGCCGACGCATCTTGATCACAGTCATTTGTATTGCCGACCCCCTCATCGCAAACGTCTTTTTACATCATGTTTACTAATCTTAATGTATTACAAAATGTCCTTGCCTCCTAAGCCCTTTTTGATCAAATACCCAATTCCATCGTTATCCGCTCTGTAAGTCCGTCCGTCTACTGTGAAAAAAACCCCACCGACGACAAAATATCTTACCACTTACGTTTGTCGTGGGTGTGTACCCCCCCACGCCGATCTGCTTGTGCAATCGCCGTCGTACCCCTCGCTGTTTTACATCCCCGACGTCGTAAATCCGAGTCCCCCTAAAACAACGTACCCTCGCTCGCCCGTCCCCCAGGTGCACGTTTTCGGTCGCCCGTCCCATGAAGGCGCTCGCAGCGCTCGCGCTCACGGCTGTCGTGGCCGCGTGCACGTGCCTTCTCGTGCAGCAGAAACGCCAGCGAGACGTCCGGTCGTGCGGCTGCCGCGACGGCGAGTGCTGCAACTCTGTGCGTGCGTCCGAGCGGCGCTATCAGCTGCCGCGAACGCACGTAGCGCATTGGGATACGCGCAAGAGCACGTGCGACGCGAGTTGGTCGGCGTTGGTACCAGCGAAAGGGACGGAAGCTGCACCCGATTGTCGGCTTCGCACCAGCTTTGGGACTCTGATCCTCTTGCGGCACGGCCAGAGCGTCTGGAACCGCAAACCCGACCGGCCGACGGAGCTGTGGCGCTACGCTGGATCGATTGACATTCCCCTGAGGTAAAGAGGTCGTTCATTGTGCTTTGTAGGGACTGGTAGAGGGCATGCGGGGGAGTGACTGACGTGCGGTGATGGGTTCAGTGAAGTGGGCATGCAAGAAGCACTGGAAGCTGGAAAGCGGCTCGAGTTTGTGCCGATTGATGTGGTGTTTTGCTCCCAGATGGATCGTGCACGCACGACAATGTCGCTCGCGTTGAGTGTGCATTCGAGCAAGAAGACTCCTGTCGTGGAGCATTGCTCGCCGCTGGAGAAACCGTCGTTTGAAGGCGTGAATGACAAGAGTCCCTACGACTTTGTACGTGGCAGGTGTTGCATTGCAAACGTTGTGTTCTTTTTTCGACAGTCACTGATGTGGTGGTGGTGGTGATGGGTTAGATCATTCCAGTGTACGTGTCGCCGGCGCTCAATGAGAGAAATTTTGGCGACTTGCAGGTCTGCGTGTGCTCGTGATGGTTGTCGTTGTTGTTGTTGTTGTTGTTGAGTGTTTCATACGCGTTAACGTGCATGGACTGTGTTTGGTTTTGCAGGGAGTGCCAAGCACAAAGCACATTGTCATGTTTGAGCGCGAGCACGTGCAAAAGATTCGGAATGACTTTTACACGCGGTTTCCTGGAAGAAATGGCGAAAGCTGTGAAGACATTCACAACCGGACTATTCCATTCTTCAACTCGTTTATCATGCCGCATCTTGCAGCGGGGCGCAATGTGCTAGTATCCTCGCACGGCTTTGTCATTCGGACGCTCATCAAGTACTTGGATGGCATGGACGCGAAAGAATTCAACGAGCAGATGACGCTGGAAAAGACAGCACCCGATAAGTGCTTGCTGCTCGCCCCGACCGGTATGTAGGCTACGCGCCGAAGCCTTTCGTGTGCATGTCTAGCACTAAGTTTTGATCTGCTACACAGGTGTCCCGCTCATGTACAAGTACGACAAGGGCAAATTTGCTAAGATCCCACAGACACGCCGTGACCGTGCAGAGAGTCTAAGCCGGAGTATTGCGCCGTATTAGATGACCACGCGTTAGTATAGTATCACTAGAGCAACGAAATCAGTCGTGTCCGAGAAGTAGCGGTGAAGCAAGTGGCGAACGACTGTACATTAGACGCCTTTTCGTAAACAGGAGCTCAGATCACCACCGGCAGAAAAGGCATTTGTCGTTGCATTATTAGTGCGTGCAGCTCCGTTTGCTCGGTTCTCTATCGCTTATCTGCTGGTGTTGTGAAACAACGCCTTATGCTTCGCCGGCAGCCTCCTTCAAGCGCTTCACCAACTCTGCTTTCAAGCCCTTGATAGACAAACCTAGCTTCTTCAGCTCCTCGCGCAAGATAGTCACAGTCATCTGCGATATCGGCTTGAACGGCGTGTATGCTACGGTAATCTCCTCCACCGCCGCCTCCTCCATTTCTACATCTGCAGGCGGCATCTCGTGCTTGGCTTCTGGTACCTCTTCATCCATTGGTTCCGACTTTGCAGTTTCCTTTGGCGATACCTTGGCTGCTTCCTCCTTCTCCGACACATCAGATGCATGCGGTTCGGTAGGAGGCGCAACAACTGCTTCCTCCTCCATTTCGACATCAGATGCACGAGGTTCGGTAGGAGGCGCTACGGCTGCTTCCTCCTCCATTTCGACATCAGAAGCACGAGGTTCGGTAGGAGGCGCTACGGCTGCTTCCTTCTCCTTAAGCACGCCAGAAGCACGCGGTTCGGGAGGAGGCGCTTTGACTGCTTTCTCCTCCTTAAGCACGCCAGAAGCACGCGGTTCGGGAGGAGGCGCTTTGACTGCTTTCTCCTCCTTAAGCACGCCAGAAGCACGCGGTTCGGGTGGAGGCGCTACGCTTGCTGCAACGGCCACGTGCTGCTGCTCTGTGATCGTCACGTCCTCCATCGATTGCGTCGGAGCTGCAACAATCTCACCATGAGCCTCCCGAATAACTCTCTGTCCGACCACCGAGTTGAAAAACGCACTAGCCGCTTCTCGATCCTGTCTCGAGATCAAACCACCGACTCGATGAATACCATCCTCTCTCCAGCTTCAAATCCACCAAGTGCAATCACAAAAGAACGAGAAACGTACACGTGGGCGAATCCGCTGAAAGTCGAGGACGTGCAGCTGCGGTAGCGTGTAAATGACGTACTCGCGGTAGTACTTGCGTTTCGTCACGGGGTTCCCGCTGAGCGAAAGCGTGTCGAGCTTTGTAAAGCAAGCCAGATGGTCCACCTCCGACAAGCGCGCAATGCGGTTCCCGGTCAGCATGAGGAACTCCATGTTGGCTATCGCGTCGGACAGATTCGCCTGGATCTTGACCACGTGGTTGTTATGAAGCAGCAGCATGCGAAGCCGACGCAGACGCGGAAAGTTCTCGAGCTTCTTGATCTCATTGTCCGACAAGTCAATGCAGTCAAAGCCGTCCTAGAAACACACGTAACCACGTGCAACATAAGAAAAATGAGACAAAATGAATCGAAAAAAGAAACAACAGTCCAAACTCGAGTCAGTCCGACCTGAGTGATGCCCAAGTTCTCGATCGCGGGGGCCTTGTAACCTGCAGCCATCGCGTTAGTCCACCACAGCACGACCGATAACCGACAAGACGCACGTAGAGAGTACCTCGGAGGTTCAGCTCGCGCTCACGCAGCGGGTTGATCGACACCTGTGCGCGCAGGATCACGTCGGCCGTGAGCCGCATGGCGCCGTCGAGCTGCTGATCTTTGGTGGTGTGTGCGTCTGCTGTCGAGTGATTGGTCGAAAAGAAGAGACAACGCAAAAAACAAAACCCGTCCGAATCGACGTCGTCGTCTTGTGTCGGCCGTCCACACGGTAAAGTCGGGCTTATATGCACTCTTAAAACGCCGTCGCGAGCAGCTAAATACGACCCCAGACGACACAACAAAACAGGGTAGACGGCCAATGGCTACAGCTACGTCGACGACGTCTCGGGACCTTCTCGAGCGCTGCGGGGCATGACGCCCAGTTCAACAGCGTCGTACGAGTCGTCGGCCACGGGCGGCTCTTTGGACCGAGAGAGCGACAGCGTGAGGCTGCGGATACTACTGCTGGGCCCGTGGGCTTTCAAGCTAAACGCGTCCGCCACGTCCGAGCCAATGATCCCATCGGCGTCGTCCGTGTGCACTGCCTCGTCGTCATGCGACGAATCAGCTGCAGGACTTGGCGCGTAGCCGTGTTCGCGGCGGAGCCGAATCAGCTCGGGCGTGTGCACAAAGACAAAGACGCCAATGCAAAAGAGCGCAATGAGGTGCGCGCTCACGAGGTTGGGGAAAAAGCACGTGTCGTGATTGCGGTCCGACGGGAACGCGTACGCCCAAAAGGCGTACATGACAAAGAGCGGCAGTGCCGTGCGGGAGAGGCCCCACACGACGTACGTGGCGTAGATCGAGCGCATGTAATGCCGCGAGTCTTGGCGGTCGCGGGCGTCGAGAAATCCACGAGCATTGAGCGGCAGCGTGGCGAGCTCGACCAGCAAGAAGAGCAGCAAACCAAACTGGCAGGCGGCGCAGCACGAGATAAAGTTGTTGATGAAGTAGGGAATGCTGTAGGGACGACGATTTATGCACGTGAGTGGACAGACCAACGCAGACAATGACGCAGTCGGTGGGACTTTGTGGTAGACAACCAATGCATGCAATAGCAAGTAGACAAGACGACGTACACTGCGACAAGGTGGTGGACAATAAAGACCCACTGCATCGGCACAGGCCATACGATGATAATGATCAGATCGCACAGAAAGTAGCCGATCGCTGCAAGATGTCACAGCAGTAGCAGCAACAACAACAACAACAGCCGCGATCAAAGCACGTCAGCCAACAACATCCATCCACTCTACTAGGATGAAGGAGCCGAAGTAGCGAGAGCGTACCGATCGAGAAGATGAAGCTCGCTGCTCGGATCGACGACATGGGCAAAAACCCGTCAGCCCACGTGATATGGGCCAGTGCAACTGCAACGCCAACCACAATGACGACCGCGTGGATGGTCGAGTTCACGCTGCCAAGAGACAACAGTAGCAGCAATCGAAGCAGCCAACGACGCGAGGTCAATACGCTGCTCGCCTGTTCAAGTCACGACGGCAGTGCCATCTATCTACACACGCACCGGGAACACCAGTCCGCTTTATGAGCTCTCGAGAAGCTGGCAAACTCAGGCACACGTCGATGCGAGAGGTACCAGGACAGGCCAAAAGAGGCCCAAAAGAGCGCAAACGCAATGCCCGCGACCAACACGTTCTCGCCCAGCCGCACGCTGTATTCCTCGTCGAGTACCTTGTGCCCGCCGTCGTACCATCCCATGGTGCTGTTGCGCGAGCAGTCCGTCAGTCCGTCAGTCCGTCAGTCTGTCTGTCCGTCCGTCCGTCCAGTGCTTTTGTTCTCAGCTGCGGAGATACTACAGCGCGTTTGTTTGGCTCGACGCCAGAGGTGGACAAGAAGGCGACAGGAGGAGGATGATGGCAAACGAAAGTGAGTCATACTGTCTTCACTTGTCTCTGCACCCACAGTGGCTGCGACATGAGGAGGAGACCCCTCGGTAGCTATACAGCCCAACTGTCGGCGACTGCCTCCCTGTCCCGACGGACCGCAAGTTGGGCCGTCATCCCGATTTCTACGTGGACCACATCAAACTAGGCGCGGCTCGGCTCTGCACCTCGTCAAGTGTTTCGTTATTGGATACTCTACACGCAACCGCAACCCGCCCAAGGCTTACAAACACCAAGTCATGTTTACGCGAGCAACACATGTCGCACGTGATACGCCCACGTACGTAGCTTGTCGCGATTGCATGCACTCAAGCCATCATCAGAGCGTCACGCCGAGTCGCGTCAGCAGATCGTCGTCTTCGTTGGCCTCGTTCACGTCTTCCACGCTCGAGTGCGCAGCACTGGCCCACGTCTGTGTCTGTAAACTGCTCGCCAGCGACGACGACGGCGCTGCTGTCGCGACTGGCCAGCCGCTGTCCATCGTCGTCGTCGTCGTCTTCATCTCGGGCCAGAGAGCCTCGACCGGTGGCTCCTCGATCTTGCTTGCGTGTTCAGCCGGGGCTGCAGCTTTCACTACCCACCCAGACGCAGCGGGGGTTAGACCAGGCGGTGGCGGCAAGACGTGCGCAACTGGACGAGGCTGGAAGCCAGGGGGAACGCTGGAAGAGGGGAGCGGCGCCGGAGGAGCCAGCAGACTGCTCGGTGACAGCACTGACATGCTGCCGCGCCGAGGACGTCCTTGTTGCGCAGTCTTCTTCTTGCCTCGAGCGGGGACGGCAGATCGCTGGTTCGACCGCTTTGGCGCTGCAGGAATACTCTGGCTATGGTCACAGGACGAACGTCGCCGCGTGACGGTGTACCCGGCCGCATCTGCCTCGTCGTCGCCTGCATTCGCTGAGCTGCTGAAACTCACGTCGCTCTTGCTGTGCGACCGCTGCTTTGTGTGTCGGTGCTTCGGCCGTTCTGCAGAGCGGGATTGCTGCTGCTTACTGCAGCCACTGTGATGCTTGATCACATATCCTCCAGGCTCTTCTTTCAGTTGACCAGAGCTCGCAAGCGCTTCACGCATCGAGCTGAACAATAGCGGGCGACGATTTGGTGGTGATTTGTTCTCTTCAACCTGCGAGGACGTTCTCGTAACAGAAGGCAACGGAGACGGACTACTGGAATGCGTAAAGTCATCCTTGTCGTCTTCGTCCGTCAGTAGCAAAGCAGTGAGCTGCGCCGAGACGATGGCAGCGCCGTTGTCTGATGATGGTGTGCCTGCTGCGGGATCTGCCATCGCTACCGTGTCAAAATCGGGACTGGAATGCATAGCAAACCAAACTCGTTCAGCCATTTTTTTCATGTGCGAGCCGGCGCGAGAACCGCGTTCGAACAAGAAAGGGTCCATAGGCGGGGGAGGAGGGACCTAACGGTGGCATCCACAACCTGCAGCAAAGTCGTAGCGCAGTGTTTGTTGCACCGCCGCATCTACTGTTGCAAACACAAAAGTCGGACGCCAGCGAAGCGACGTGCAAAACTGTTGTCGTCGTTGAACCCAATCGTTGTCCGGGCCGTAGCATTGGGATAGGACTTCTGAGATCCTTTGTTTGCTATCACGCGGACTGTGGAATGTGTTGCTTGTCTGCATCGGTCGCACAGCTGGTGGCGAGGTCAGACTTTTGCTGCGACGAGGACTCGATACCTCAGTGCGCTATGCTTTCTGCATTACGACGAGGCAGCTGAGCAAGCGGTAACAGCAGCTTATGTGAGACCTGCCACTTTTGGCAAGCAGCTCTGAGACTCGAGTGGCTTGTGTAGACAGACAGCTGTCGAATCGTGGCGCTAGAGTCACGTCTGACAAGCGTTGCAGTGATCCACTGAGGGGGTCTCTCGTGAGAACATCGACACCCCGTTTGATCATCTTGTTTTTGGGTGTCGTGCTTTGGATGTGCAATATGGTCGGCCACCCGTTGGGTGCGCTGGTTCTGTTTGTGAACCAAACGTTTTGACACGATCTCGACCGTTGAGGCGACTTGCATCGTACAGCAGCTCGTGTACAATACGCTCCTCGTCAACCTAATCGTTATCGGCGAGCGAGATGTACGCGATGTTGATGGAGATGAGCGAGTGCCTATCAACACTCCCGTTCTACTCTTACAGCGTAAGTGTGCTGGATGAAAGCACTGTGATCGCAGTTGTCGCTTGCATCAGCTTACCAGTCCGACTACTTTGGACTAGTCAAGGTGATCTGGTCGAGTAAAATGTCGTCGGCTGTGCAAGCGACCACGTGGCTTGCTCATAGCTTCACTAGTACATTGCCTGGTCTGTCGCCGATCGAAAACACGCGAAGGGTGCGACGAGCAGCGTGTTGAGCCGTTGTACAACGTTCATAGCGACTGTGTACCATCGTCCGACTCCATGGCAAAATCAGATCGAATTGTCTTCGGTCGTGGTGTGTTCGAGTTGAGTGCTTGACTCACGTCGCAAGGATCTTGCGCTTGCATCACCCGTTGACAAGTCGCTTTGTATGCTGTCGTCGTAGCTAAGACCAAAAGCTTGCGAGCAAACGTGCCACAGACTGCACACTCGCCATCGCCCAGAGGCGGACATCAACAGTCGAGAGGACACCCGCCGCTGACACGATGTGCCCGATCTTGCGCTCAAACGCCGTGTGCCAACTACTCCTCTCCGAGACAACTGTACTGAGATACACGCCGACCTGCGAGAGCTTCATCCCATGCTCATCAGCATCAATCGCTTTTGTCTCGATCGTTTCGACTAAATCCTCAACCGCCCGCCAAGCTATCTCGTTCGCTCGAGTGTTACAACACTGACGTTGTGGTGGGCTGTTTGCGCTGTTGCACATCCCGAGCAAGCCTCGATTCACCTGCAACAACTACAAATTAGACAATGCCAATGCGTGCTCTCATCGAGCGCCCGTATGTAGTCCTCCGCCGACGAGATACGTCACACGCTCTGCCAGTCAGCAGCAGCAGCAGTCCATTGCTCACCATCAGATGTAAAGCAATCGGCTGCCTTCCAATTCCTCGACATTTGTCCGCCTGTTTGCGTCCAGTGGGTCTTGTCGTCTCATTTGCGCTTTTTCTTGTGGTCGTGACGACACGCGCTATTTGCGGCGACCCGCCAGCCGTACCACTCCAGTCCGCTCACAATCGCACGACAACAAACGTGGCCATCCCCAGCCAGTCAAGACGAGACAAGTACACCGTTTGCGCAGTCAGAGATGGCCAACGGGCTGTTCTATGCACCCAATCGACGCACGAGCACCACCAGCAGCTCCGTAGCTCAGCTCAGAACGCAATTTGCCGCCGAGCAAACAACAACAACTGCGAGCGAGCGAGTCCATCATCGAGCTGACGAGTCCACCATAGAGCAGACGAGCCATGTTCCGCGCGCGCAGGTTTGCCCGTGCTGTGCACGCCGCTTCCACTCGTCTCGACCCGAAGAAGACGCGTCAACCGGTTTTCGTGGCTGCTGGTGGTCGTCGGTGTCGGTCGCGGCACAGCTGTGCCACTATGGCGACAAGCCTGTCGCGAGGGCTGTCGACGTCGTCCGCGCCCGACGAGCACAAGCGCCTGCCACCAAAGACCACCGACAAGTTCGTGGGCAAGACGGGGGCCGAGATCTTCCACGAGACGCTGGCCGAGATGGACGTGGACTGCGTGTTTGGCTACCCCGGGGGCGCCATCCTGCCCGTGTTTGACGCGATCCACGAGAGCAAGTACTTCCAGTTCATCCTCACGCGGCACGAGCAGGGCGCGGGGCACATGGCGCAGGGTTACGCGCGTGCCACGGGCAAGCCGGGCGTCGTGCTGGTGACGTCGGGTCCGGGCGCTACGAACACAGTCACGCCGTTGCAAGATGCGCTCATGGACGGCACGCCCATTGTGGTCTTTAGCGGCCAAGTGGCGACCCAAGTGCTCGGGACCGACGCTTTCCAGGAGGCCGATATCTTGGGCATCACCCGTCCGTGCACCAAGTGGAACGTGCAAGTACGGGACATTCGGGACTTGGCGCGTAACATTCGCGAAGCTTTTCACATTGCTACGACGGGACGTCCCGGTCCTGTGCTGGTGGACCTGCCAAAGGACATTACCGCGGGACTGTGCAAAAGCGCCGTGGTCACCGAGCCACAGCTTCTGGGATACTATGGCGAGAAGAAGATTGCTGGCAATCGTGTGAACCAGGACGCAAACCTAGCAGCGGCCGTCAAGATGATCAACCAGGCGAGGAAGCCTGTGATTTTCGCCGGTGCGGGCGCGCTCCATGCGAGTCAAGAGCTTCGTGCGCTGGCGTGCCAGGCGAACATTCCCGTGACCACGTCGTTACAGGGAATGGGCGCCTTTGACGAGCGTGATCCGCTCAGTCTGCACATGTTGGGCATGCACGGCTCAGTGTACGCAAACAAAGCCATGCAAGACGCTGACTGCATCATCGCCCTCGGTGCCCGTTTCGATGACCGCGTGACGGGCCGTGTGCCTGACTTTGCGCGGGAGGCTCGGCGTGCGTCCGCAGAGGGTCGAGGTGGTATCATCCACTTTGAGATCACGGGCAAGCAAGTGAACAAGATCGTACCTGCTGATGTGGCTGTGCTTGGCGACGCAAAGTACAACTTGCAGCAGATCCTGCCCAAGGTGGAGTCCAAGCCGCGCACCGAGTGGCACAGGAAGTTGCAGGGATGGAAGGCACGGTATCCGTTCCGGTACCGTCCAGCAGCTCCGGGTGCACCGATGAAAGCGCAGCGGGTTATCGAGGAGCTGTACAAGCAGACCAAAGGTCGTGACGACGTTCTGATTACAACGGGTGTTGGCCAGCACCAGATGTGGGCAGCTCAGTTTTTCCGGTGGTCACACCCAAACACGATGATCACGTCCGGCGGTCTGGGTACAATGGGCTTCGGTCTGCCTTCAGCCATTGGCGCCAAGGTCGCCAGGCCCGATGCGATCGTTGTCGATATTGACGGCGACGCTAGTTTCTCCATGACGCTGTGTGAGATGGCGACGGCCGCCGAGTTCAACATTGGCGTGAAGGTGCTGCTGCTCAACAACAACTTCCAGGGCATGGTCAAGCAGTGGCAGGATTTGTTTTACGAAGAGCGGTACTCGGGCACCAAGATGAACAACCCGGACTTTGTCAAGTTTGCCGAGGCCATGAACTGCGAAGGGTTCCGCTGCTCGGAAGAAGCGACGCTAGAGGCGGACATGGCGCGGTTCCTCGCGGCGGAGGGTCCTATCCTGGGCGAATTCGTGATTGAGCAGAACGAGCACTGCTACCCCATGGTCGGAGCAGGCCGTTCGCTGGACGAGATGATTATTGGCGACTTTGACGACTGCTCGGGCACGACGTCGGTCTAACTCGGCCCGAGCGAGCGACCTAGTCATCAAGCAAGTACCAGACGTGGAAACAACACTGTAGCAGTACGGCAGCAGAGCAGGCAGCCCCCTTAGAGAGACGATACAGAGATACACAAACCTGTTTCACACCCGTTACCTCGATGGCTTTCTATTCTCGGTCGGGTCGACAATCTTCCGTCGCATCGTCGCTCCTGCTACATCATTGCCCCATGTCCCACACTGCATCACACCTGCTCTTGCCCCAGCAGTGGCACGAGCTCATTTCGAGCGTGCAGGTCCAAGACATCGTCGCAGCCGCCAACGTGCTTGCCGTTGATAAAGACGTTGGGCACCGTGCGCTGGCCCGTGAGACCGAAGAGCAGCGCCTGGATCTCATCTCCGTCGTCGCGCGTGTCGAGCTCCACGACTGCGTACTTTGTTTCGAGCACATCCAGCGTCGCTTTAACGCGCGTACAGAACGGGCAGTGGGTCTTGGAGAACACTAATACTTTTTCGTGGGCAATCGCGTCCTAAGAAGACAACGACAGCAGCAGCAGCAGCAGACGTTAACGCAGTCGTGAGGTGCAGTGAGCGAGCGACACACGTCAGTGCAGTGCATATAGCTACATACAGTGATGGACGCGCTGGACGCGTTGAGGTGGAGGCCACGAGCGCCGCCGAGAGACGAGCGTAACGCGCGGGTCCCGGCGGACAAGAGACGGGAAGCGCGCATGAGGGTCTGGTGCACAACGTACGTACTAAAGGCGAGCTGTCCAGCGTATGTGGTGTGAGAGGGATATGCTCCGGTAGTGTATGCGCTTTGCTAGTTGTATATGGTATTGTCGAAAATGTAATTCAAGAGGTGATGAATTCTGCGTGATGTGATTGATGTTGTTTTACGCGATGTGGAGAGACTGGTCATGACTATTCGATCTTACAGGTGATAAAAAGAGCAGTTGGTCTGCAAAATGATTCCGAGTGTCCCGATAGTATCAGGAAAACCCTTGCAGAGGCCGAATGGTCTTGTGACAATATCTTCGCTTCAACATCAGAAGGACAATTGGCTCTTGTGATTCCCGACGTACCCGCAACACCACATTCGGCCATGCCCAACGACGAGCTGGCAGACTTCCGAGCGCGCATGGCGCAGCCGCCCAAGGACTGGGTCGAGGCCGCGCTCGTGGCAGTGCTCAAAGATCCCGTGTTCTATACTGCGGTCGGACTCGGCGCTTTCTTCCTGCTGGTGGTCCTGGCGCTCTTTGCGACAAAAGTGCTGCTGGACGACATTGGAGCGCACGAGACGCAAGCGGAGCAAGCGATGGAGCGCAAGACGGACAAGAAGGAGCAGTAGCTGAGCGACACGCGATTGCTTGTCACCATCGACGGCACCGCATTAACAAAACTCTAAACCTCAAGCTCAGCAGCAGACCGACCGACCCAACAGCAGCAGCAGCAGTCGCTTCGACTTTTCTAGCGCAGCCAAAGCGACCTGTCACTTGTCTGTCTGCGTCGTCCGTGCATTCTCTCTCCTGATTACGACAGAGGGAACACTACCACTGGAAACTGGGGGTGCGTGGAAAAGTCAAACTCGATCGGCGTCGCGGCTCCTTGCGCGACCTTCTTCGACTTGCCACCGCCTGTAGTCTGGCGCCGTTGGGCGAGACGAACGCTGTTGGCAATGGACACCTTGAGGAGCGCCTGCAGCTCCATACCACGGACGAGCTTCTTGCCGGTTGCAGTAGCAATCGTGTTGAATCCTTCTTTGTCGCTCAGCAGCTCCTCGGCATGTGCTCGAGCTGTCTTGAAACACTCCTCGACTGACTTGTAGATGAGGTCCAGCTCGTAGATAGAGAAGTCGCTATTCTCGTTAAAGTCCACGTACGTCAGTGCAGCAGGGTATTGGAGTTTCTGGAACGGCGCAAAGCGATGCTGGAATCGAATCGTAAACGTGCTGTACATGGGAGACTTGGCCTCCACCAGCCCCTCGCGTTCGAGTGCGTTGAACAGCTGGAAGTACGCCCGCATCAGACTGCGCATCAATTCCGTATACTTGATCTCACGGAGAAACCGAGCCCTTGTGCAGTCAACGGATTGGCGCATAATATCCGAGGACTCGACGATGGCTGCCCCAACGCCATTGTGGTGCTTCTTGTGCTTTGTCTTCGACTTCTTCGACGTTTTACTCGTCGCAGAGCTAGCTTGCGATGCCAGGGGTGTAACAATCTTCGGTTTGCACTGCTCGGTTGCCGGGCGTTGTGGCATGAGCTGACTCATCTTCTCGACAAACGTCCACGTCACGTTCAGATTTTGGAGACGTGAGCCTTCCAAGTAATCCAGGTACCTGTATCCGGTCATGTCATTGATCGGTAAGAACAAACATCCGCACACAAAGCAATGCGCACACGTACCAGTACGCGGTTCCAAACTCTGAGGGCGCATATAGTTCCAGCTCCAGCCCCAACACCACGTATTGAGTCATGAGTTGCACCGATTCCTCGAGAGTCCAAGCCGTGAAGTATCGCGGGTTTGCAGCTTTCTATGCAACGTCGTCAGCGTAAGCACATTCAACGAATACACGCGAGCCAATCAAGAACAGGAGCGTACCGGGATGCTCATCTCCATCATAAACCTCTCGTCTACGGCAGCAGCTTCTGCCTGAAGTATGCTCCACTCATCCAATAAATATTCGATTCGCGCACGCTGTCGTGATCGGTTGTGCAAATAAACCTTGAGCGACTCGTACATAGTCTCAATGCACCGCGATGAATACAGCACGCCTTCTTGCGTCGAGAGCAGCACGGAAGGAACTCCATTCATCACCATGGCTGCCGACAGCCAATCCATGAAGCTGTATTTGCCATAAACTTTGCTGTCAGCGTACAGGAAAAGCTAGATTAGATTTGAAAACAAGTCAAATGTAAGATGGTTGGCAGTACACAAACGGCATTTGGAAGCACATACCAGTACGTAAGAGCGCGCCACGATTGAGGGACGCTGCCTGGAAAACTCGATCAAGAAAATGCGCAAGTCTTCCATGCACGTCCATCCAGTAGGAGAGCAGCCAGTCACCAACTCTTCCAGCACTTTTTTCATCTGACCCAACGCCTCGTCGATCGAGGGCACCTTGATATCGCGCGGTGGTGCGCCGAAGAGAAGGAAACGGCTGATACTCGAATCAAAGCCGATCGGCTTTCCACTGAAGCACTCTACGTCGAGCTCGAGCCTCTCGGTGGACAACTCCCCGACCAATTCATGAGCACGATGGAAACCATCCCTCGCATGCTGCAGATCCAAACCGTTCTCTGCTCTGCCCAAACCCGCATAGGTAGCAAGCAATTCCCTTCGCAGCCGAACTCGTCGAATGAAGGCTTCGCACGTCAAGGCACCAACTCGGGGATTCGGACACAGCGGTTCATACCCAGACGGACTAGGTCGTTTGCTGCTGTTTGAACATACGCTACTTGTTCTTTTGTTGTGCTTCTTCTTTGATGCTTTTTTCGGCAAGACAGCTTTGTGCTGCTCAACGAGGGCCTCCAGCCGTTCCTGTGTTACTTGTAGCACCGTATCCAGCGTATCAACAGATACCCGCGTCAGGACTCCGGCGTTGAAACCACTTCCGGGCGAAAAGTCTTCTTCCTCGTATATATCCGCGCGTAGAGCAGCGTCACGGATAAGATCCGCAGTCTTCAGCGTAGCGAGGATCATCGCACACATGACAAGCAGCAACGTGTCTTTTGCCGAGTCGCCTACGTTGCTCTCGATAACATCGCGCACGTCTGCGTCCGTTGCCACCACACTTTCCAACGGCGAGACAAGCTGCGACCAAAGAGCATTCAGCGGGTCCCGGTGCAAGTACACACTCGTCAGCAGCGACTGTGCCAATGGCAAACCGGTCAGCCACCCCGTCTCGCAGCAGAACAACTCATCCAGTGTGGCCAGCACGTCACGAGCCGACGAAAACTCCAACAGCACCGATTTGTTTTCCAGTCGAGCAGAAACGGACTGTAACGGGGCTCCATCAACCAGCATCCCCGAGTCCATCTTCGGGTCCATGAGCTCCAGTGCCGACATGCAGTCAAAGAGCTTAAAGTCGTCTTCGTGGATCAGCTGTCCGACCTTCAGCTCCTTTGCTGCTGCACTTATCAGCTGTCAAGTACCCCGATGCAACATGAGAAATGCCCCACCATCTCAGCATCACCAACCAAACCAAAGCCTCTCACCTGCGTGACATCTCGCCAGCCCGCGTCAACCGGCGAGTACTGCAGCTTCAGCTTCGCTTCTATCTCTTCACGGATCTCCCCCGAGTCACTGCAGTCCGAGAGCGTTGCAGCAGAACATCAAAGAAGACAGCAACAAAGTCGTTAACCCCACACAGCTGTGGATGATAACTACCACCACTTTGTAGCCATGTGATCGGCTTTTTCAATGCCATCGCACCTCATTGTAACCTCTTTCGTGCTTGTAGCAGGTGTAGAGAGAGAGAGAGAGATAGAGAGACAGCTGTGGGTACACCTGTCGAGCTTATCGGGATGTGGTGAAAGGAGAGGGATGGTAGGAAATGGGGAGGAAAGCGGGCTATCCTACAGTCCAGGACGTCCTACAACACGAACGCAGTCGAGCCGAGGTTTTTCCCGAGCCAAGGTTGGCCTAGTTTAGGACAGGAGAGACGCACCCAACAGACAGACCATCAAGGAGAGAGAGAACGTTCGCTTTACTAGTATACAACTATACGCTTTATCGCTGAACCCCAAAGCACGCACAGCTGCAGCCAAACCGGACCTACAGATACGCCGAGAAACCTACATGCCACACACGCACAATCGAATCAATGAGCGCGAGTCTACTTCAGCCCGTGACTATGTTTTCTTGTGTCGAACAACACCTTTGCCCTCGCTTTCCCCGGCCGGCTCGCTCCCTTGCACTCTTTGTCGTACCAGGCGCACTGCCCTCTCTTCTCGCCTCCCCCGCCTTCACCTTCGCATCATCACCACTCATTACCCTCACTTGTTCCTTTCAGGCGCCGCTTCCACCACACACATCTTGCAGCGGCCAAGCGATCCCCCGTCTCTCCACTTTCGTCGTCACACCAGTAACCGTTTCGTCCCATGACACCTCGACGCACTCAGCCAGCACACCCCATCCATGGAAGGATGTAGAGCTTCAAGCTTCCTGCTTTGTCCGCTTCTTCACTCGCGACGATGACGCATCCGCAGTCAAGTTGGCTTCGCCCTTCCGTTTAGCTCCTGTAAGAGTCCGTCGCTACCGAAGGCAACACACATAATTACAGCTTCTGTTAAAACAGAACAGAGATAGATAGACACATAAGTCGAACCACCTCATTGAACGACATGCCCTAAGAAACAACACGCAGTACACACACAGGCACACAACCACTCCTCTTTCTACCAGGCACCCTGCACCTCTATACACGCTAGCAGCACTGCACAGCTGAAGCGGGGAGGATGCAAGCAACCAGCTTTACCACCACCTGCAAGCTATCAAAACAGCTCGCGATAGGCAACAACGCTAAGGAAGCTCTCCGATGAATTCGGAGCGCATTCTCTTTCCCTTTTCCTCCATGCACGCGTGTATGCAAACGACAAATAGTGCAGCTTCATCTGGCAATCGTATCGCACCTGCTGTTGAGTCTTTTCTTCATCCGCGCCTTCTTTCGCGAGGATAGCAAGGCGTCGACGATTCTCCGACTTATTGTAAATCTTGTATCCAAACACCCGCGGTACATACAAATGTGTCGACGGTGCCGGCTCCAGCTCTCTATAGGTCAGAAAAAACAAGTGCGGAAACGTCGTGCCAAAATACGCTCCGTCAACTGCAACAAGCCAGCAAAAAAACCGTGTTAGCCGTACGGCAACGTAGCATGCCACCAGGCCAAGCTGTATGAGCCGAATACGTACCAGTTGGAGCCTGGTATTCGGTAGCTGGTGTGTACACGTCTCGACACTTGGGGCAGTAGACTTTCATCTCTGATTTCTTCCACTCGTCGTGGAGACCCGCCTGTGTCATGCATACACACAACCCAATCAATGAGTCCGTCGCCCAGCCGCACTCACTCTAACAACACAGTCGTGGTGCACATGACGCCAGCGTACCGGCACAACCGGTTGCCCTTCGCACAGCGCCCTTGGACACATGCCAAAGTCCCCTTCGCGGTACTTCTTCATCTGCACGACCACACATCCACCACAAAAGTCACTCGACGCAACGCTTTCCCCCGTCTCCCACTTGATAACACGCTCGCTACCATCGCATCCAATCCATGGGCCGTGATGATATATCGCGCATGGATCAGTCCGTATAGCTCTGCTGCATACGCCGGCACGTCGTCGTCGTAGGGAATGTCTATAGCCACCAATAGGTCAACAGTGTACAAAGCATCAGTTCGGTTCGTACTTAGTGCATACAGCAATCAGGCCCGCAAGTCAATCGCTCTCCAGTACTACTGACCCGTGAGGTCGAGAATGATGTTCAGGGCGTCCTGGTAATTGGGCACCATCGCGCGCAGACCGTAGAGGTTGAACGAGTCTTCGATGTAACTCTGCGCGACTTCGCAGAACGACTCGTTGCCCGAGAGACTGCAGAACCACTGCACCCACTTCTCTTCCTCCTCCTCGTAGTCCGACATGTTCGTGGCAGTCGCTCGTCTACACACACAGACACACACGCAGGCGCACTCGAAGCTTCGCTCCGGTCCACCGAGCTGCTTTTTTGCCGAGCTGGGGGACTCCCTGTCGAACTCGATTGTTGTAGCGCACTTAAATCAGCGCGAGTGGAAATGATTGTATCGCAAGAGGTTATACAATACTACAAAAAAGAGGTGGTCATTCGAGTCCGGGTATTTTAAGCCCCGAGCACCTGAGCTGGCAGTCGACTTTTGCCACAGGCGAGCAGACCGTAAACATGTTTGTCATGACGTGTTAGGTCTAAAGCAGGAACTTGTATCGCATGGCACAGTTTGGCGAACAAAAGATCTCTGGGAACACATTGATGTGCCGCTTACTGATTCACTCGTCCCACACGAAGGCTCGCTACGACGTCATCTACTAAGGTTGCTACAAGCCGCATGTTTGGTCTTGACATGTGTCGAGTGGAAGGAGAACGAACACAATGAACACCGAACTAGCGGCTTGCACATGATCTGGAACGCGAGTAAGCTAGTTGCTATGAAACAGGTCTGGACAGAGGCATGACTTTTGCAACTTGTTGGCCTTCGATCTCGTCAAGACCAGGGTATGCTTACACCTCACGGCGAATGTGTTGAGGGGAGGCGTTCCATTGATAGCCGACAAGAGAGCATCGCAGAAGAGCACATGTGAGGACAACTGATATGGATCCACCCGACGTACACGCACGGAAGCCTGTGACCGCACTGACGCTTTTGGCTATCTGCGCGGAATCTGTCGTCTTGTTTTATATGCATCGGTCCACGGATAAACTTATCGGTGATGTTGAAATCGAGGTAAGATCAGTCGTGTGAGCGCTCGGGCGACTACAGCTACTTCGATGCTGTCATCCATCGATCAAAGACGAAGACATCACGCAATCTAACGCTTGAAATGGAATATGGGTTGCACTACAGTCCACTTCATGTGCACATTTGTATCGACACGGCATGGATCCGTCTAATGGGAAGGAGCGAAGGTAATAATACCATTTATCCCACGAGGCTCGTTTATCAATGGCGCCTATTGATATGTCTGGTACGAGGATTTTTCGACGAAGACGACCTCTCCAACTCGAGTGGTGGTCGTTATCCAATTGTGTCGCCAAACGTACCAACCCAAAGAACGAGAGTCCAGCGCGTGTTTCATGCACCACGCTTCCGAACAAAGCGACGACAATCGAAAAGTTACAATCGCCGGCTGTCGTGTACTATGGCCCAAATATTGCAAGTGTCTAGTATTGTCTTGCAGTCCACACGACCACTCAATGTTGTGATGCTTTGGCGATGGCAGACTTAGAGCCGGGTGAGCGCGTAGCACACGAGTAACGGGGCGAACCTGTTGCATGTCATTGGCACGTATTGTGTCAATGTAAATACCATCGTGATTGATGCTATTCTACAATTTTACTCTCGCGAACCAATTAAATAGAAATATTACCTTAGAGGTAACACTTACACCGATTCTTGATTGCTTAGGCCACGACTAGGGGCACACCCCATTTTTGCTGGGGCGCACCCGCCCTCCTAAAATGATAAAAAGGACCTCACATTTTATGGTGCAGAGTAAATATAACACGCAGTCACTTACTACTGCGCGATATGTCCCTATCTTAAACGGTAAACGCACTCATGCGTACATTTTCATCAATATATCTTGGCCAGGGCGGTATTAAATGGGCAAAGTTTGCTGGGATCTCTACTGTCTCGAAGACGGTATACAATCCAATAGTACCATACCAAGATCCGGCCATCGGCAGTGGCAACGACATCCGAGTTTCTACGTGCTCACAGTCACGAGTCATTTGTAGCCGGGCCCCCAACGATTTACACGAGTCGAGAGCCTCAATTCGTCGCGGACTTTGCCGAAGATTTCTACTCGCCGCTAACGTGGAGATACTTCTGCAAGCTTGGAACAAACTTCGCGCGTGGCAGGAGGCACGCAAGTCGAAAAGCTTTCAATTGAACGTTCGAGTATTGCGTGCAAATTGTGGTATGACTTGCACGAGTCGCCGACGTTACAGCTTGGAGCGTGGTCGAAAGAGAAAGACACAGCGCTTCGACGGGTGGTGTAACGGGGCACACCCTTGCGTGAACTTAACGCAAGGGTTTCGGTGCCCCGACAGACGTACACGTGGCAAGCGAGGAAGCGTAGGTAAGGTAAAAGCAGAACTGTTATATTAATATAATTAAGTCTTTTAACTACTGTCTCTCTGTTTGACTTAACTTAATTATGTTAATATAACTGAGTGTATGGTGACGTCTCGTCACCACTCATTGCGCGCGTCTTGCGGCGATTGGTGGGTTGATATCATCAAGATATCAACCAATGAACAGACCCTTTGGTCGACCCTTCAATATCACCACTTTGGTGATATATTTCAAAGAATATTCAACTTCATATTCTTTATTGTCACTTTCCTTAAAGTGACAATTTCATGTAACGGGCTGCCCCGTTACATCACCCCCCCCCTTAACTGATAGTCACCGCGTGACTATCGAAAATATGGAGGCCACCCGTTGGCCACCATTGGGACAGGGAGCACTTGTTGGGTCCGTTCCATTCACTTTCCGCTTGACCTCGCATAGTTAACATGTCTATGCGAGGTGACTCAAGACCTACACAGCCCGGTGCTGTGACAGCCTCTGCGGCAGACGATTCGTCGTCTGCTGCTCCTTCTGTGCCTGCAGCAACAGGTGCTGCAGGTGCACGCGGCACATCACCGCGTGCGCATGATGACCTCGACGTAGAGGTCATCTACTCTGGCGAGTCAGACGTGTCTGACTCGGGCAATGCGCCAGAGGCGTCTCGCTCACCGGCGACGCCTCAGTGTTCGCCAAGGCCACTGCCGAACGAACGGACTCGTGATTTGCATCACAGTCTGTTCGGCAGTGATGACGATGATCAGGGCGGTGAGGAATATTATTCCTTACCACCACCGGCTCGTGCGTCTTCGCAAGAGCGTGATGAAGATGGCGTGAGCCGTCGTCAATCTGGGAGCCGTGGTACCGACAAGGGTACCTCTGTGAAGCGTGATGAGTCGAAGCCGTGGCGTTTGCCCGAACGGCTCATTAATACCTTGTCTCACGAGACAAGCCAACACCATCGAATACCCTTATTCGATGCGACTGAGCATCACGGCTTGAGTTTTAGCGCGAAGAACTTTCGCGCTGAGGAAGATTTTTATCTCGATGTCTTTCTTAGACATTGATGGTACAACAGCAACCAAAAGCGTGACAAAGCATAGCTTTTGGCTGCGTGGAACGCGTTTGTTCAAAACGTAAAGAATTTTGGACGAGAAGGGTGGCTTAAGAAACTTGAGGCGACACGCCTCAGGTTCGAAAGGCGAACGCCAACCGGTGCTAGGTACCGGTTGCACTGTTTGTCGAGTGAGGCAGGCATTCCTTGCCTCACACGGGGAGACCCTTGTGCGAGTTGTGTTGACAACTCGCAGCGTGCACATAGGGATGTGTATTCCCTAAATTTGCCCTGGGGAAGGGCACACATCTCGGCTGCGATGCGTGACGCGATTGCTAGCTTGCAATCCGTCTACAAGCGCCTAGGGCGCGTGTTTACCGATGGGCCACAGGACTTATCGGATGGGTCTCGTCATACTGGCGGACGAGACCTTCAACATCCATCAACAGCTGAGAGCGGGGCTCCCAGCTGTTCCAAGAGGGTGGATACCCCCGCCACTGGACGAGGTAGCTCGTCCTTGATCCTGAATCGTCACGGTGATTCAAGATACGCTCCACTAGAAAGCGTTGATCACCGTGAGCATCCACCAAAGGATGTGGTGGAGGAGGAAAGACCTCCTCCAGATGATTCGGTTCACCATCTCGACCCTTACGAGATGAATCACGCAATCGATGAATTGCGCGATGACTTGAAGCACGAGCGCGACCGGCGCCACGCTTTGACTGATACCGTGCGGAAGAAACACAAGGATCGCGGGGCTGATCGGGCTAGAGATCGCGCCGATTATGCCACAGCGCAGCTTCAGGTCGAGCGGGATGTCCGCTCCCTATTCGGCGAGCTGGCGACAGCTCACGGGGAGATATCTCGGTTGAGTTCCGAGGTATCATATCTGCGCGACCAGACGGATTGTCTGGAGCGCGACCACAAGAACTTGATGGATGTTCTTGAACGTGGGGGCTATCTTCATCGGAAGAAGAAGGCTCGTACTGACAGTACGGCCTGAGCCTCCCCACGTAAAACGTAGGATGCGTGCGCATCCTACGTGGCAATTCGAATGTGTATGCATTGCCCTTGCGATGCAACACTCGAAATGGCCCAATGTACTTCGGCATTAGTTTACTACTGCCGAAACTAGTGACTGCATGTCCAGGTAAGTTTACCGTAGACAGTAGTACTAGGTCGTTAACCTTAAATGAAAGAACATTTGCTCTTCCATTCTTGTCTGCGTTCCGTTTCTGACGGTCCACCGCATTTGCGATGGAGTCCTGAACGAAACGGACTACCGCTTCTCGAGTCAGCAGGAAGTTCTCTGCTGACTCGTTGTTTTGTCTTTCAGTGCGCTTCGTGCGCACTGCTAAGAGATTGGTCTCTTCTTCAGCGAGGTTGTCTTCTTCCTCGCTGACATAATCGTTGACAATGCTGAATATAACAGCATCGTCATCATCATCCGAGTCAATAATAGCGTCATCGCTATTATTGAGGTGATCTTCTTCATCTATGTCGACTTGATCGACATCGGCATCATACGTGACGACGTTAGCGTCGACACGTGATGAGCAAGAGCCAAAACGGTTTTTGCTCGAGCGAGTCCCTCCCCCCTTATCCAAGAGTCACGCTCTATAAGGGTGGGCACTCGTGGATGGCGTAAGCCATTCACGTAAAACGGTGTGTGCTGTGTGGAAGCATGCACCGAATTATTGATGGCGAATTCCACCATGGGTAGGAATTCGCTCCGACTCGGAAACGATTGGACGTATCCTCGAAT